GGCATAATTTCCTCATTTAAAACACAGTTGCTGTTTCTGGCCTGAAAAGGGCTGTGAGAAGCTATCTTCTGGTATGTGTGTATTAATCAAAATACTGGCAGGAGACACATGCTACTTTAAAGAAATACTCCTGCTGTAGTTTGATGTGTTAGCAAATTGTGCACAGAAAAAATAATGCTTGGTACAAAGCTATTACCCTTCATTACAAAATGAAAATAAGTGTTTTCCAAACTGAAGATTCTTTAGGGGTGGAGTGAGCAGCTCATCTAGCAATGCTCAGGATTCCATGCAGTACTGGGGATCAAACCTGGGCCTCCAGCAGGCAAAAATATGTTCTAGTTTGCTGAGGTACTTCTCTTCAAATTTAAACTTTGACTGACAGTACAACTTTTAAAAATAAGTATGTAAAATAGCCTCAGTTCAAGGACTGCACAAAGATTTTTTTAAAACCACAGTGGATCACAAATTGGGAAGAACACACAGCTGTCCTCAATACATTCAAACACTGTCCTTTTCATACTTATAGAAAAGTTGGTCAAACAACATATAAACAAGAATTGGGAAAAGCTGAAAATCTAAGAGAAATGGACGCCAACCCATGTCTTTTAAACTTAGGCAAAAAACAAACAAAAGGTCTCATTAAGTGCATCTGATTTAAACGGTATTTGTTTCTTTACTGATACTACAGGAATAAACATATCAGATGGGTATTTTCCCCTCATATAAGAAAAGAAAATAAATGTTAATCTTAAAAGAAATTTAAACAGAAATACAGAAGAATCAGTCCAGCTGTGATAAGAACATATTACAGTGTTAATTTTTCTCAGTATTTATAAAATATTTTAGCAAAAAAATGATAAGAGGATCTGGGAATGTGGCTCAATGGTAGAACACATGCCTCTTAATATATAAAGGCTCTGGGTTCCATTTCTAATACCACAAGAAAATAAGAATAATAATGTAGTAACAATAATAATAATGAAATGAGAGAGGGTCAGCAAGAGGCATTAGAGAAATAGTTCTATTATAAAAAATTTTACAGCTGCACAGTATTCCATTGTGTAGGTGTACCAAAGTTTTTTTTAATCAGCTGTTTGTTTTCAAGCACTTGGGTTGTTTCCAGATTCTAGCTATTGTGAACAGTGCTGCAATGAACATATAGGAGAAGATGACATTTCTACTGTGCTTTTTTGTACCCTTGGTATATATTCCCAGAAGTGGTATTGCAGGGTCATATGGAAGCTCAATTTCTAGTTTTTGAAGGAATGTCCATATTGTTTTCCAAAAAGGCTGGACGAGTTTGCATTCCCACCAACAGTGAAAGAGTGTCCCTTTCTCCCCATCTCCACGCCAATACTGGTTGCTTTTGTTCTTTTGAATGTGTGCCAGTCTCTGTGGTATGAGATGTTTGATTCATTGTTTTGATTTGCATCTCCCTGACGATTAGCGATGTAGAGCATTTTTTCATGTGCCTTTTGGCCATTTGTGTTTCTTTTTGTCTCCTCTTACATCTTTCTAAGCAACTTTTTGTTTAGTGAAAACTACCTTGCAGTGGAAAATGGGCACTGGTGGAGGGATGGGTATTTGATCATTGTATAATTGAAATCCAAGCACAAAAATTTGTAACTCTACAACTGTACCTCATGGTGTTTCACTAATAAAAATAAAAAAAAAAAACTACCTTGCTTCACTAAATAAATACATTTTTAGTCATATGCAGCAGTTTCTTTCAAGTGAATAAAATTGATACCCTCTTGGGGGCTGGAGTGACAGCACAGCAGGTAGGGCGTTTGCCTTGCACGTGGCCAACCTGGGTTCGATTCTTCTGTCCCTCTCCAAGAGCCTGGCAAGCTAAAGAGTATCCCGCCCACATGGCAGAACCTGGCAAGCTACCCATGGCATATTCAATATGCCAAAAACAGTAACAAGTCTCACTTCGTGTTCCTGGAGCAAGCAGACACCATTGGGCTACACTAGCACGTGACAGGGATGAACGGAGACGTTACTCGAGACATTACCGCTCAAGCAAATCAATGACCAATGGTACAACAGTGACAATGATATATATGTGGCTCATATATATGACGCTCTGGGTTCCATCCCTAGCACAAGAAAATAAGAATAATGATGTAATAAACAATTTCCTCATGTAGCATTGTAGCACTGTCCTCCCGTTGTTCATTGATTTACTCCAGTGGGCCCAGTAACGTCTCCATTGTGAGACTTGTTACTGTGTTTGACATTTCAAATATGTCACAGGTAGCTTGCCAGGCTTTGCCGTGTGGGCGAGATACTCTCGTAGCTTGCTGGGCTCTCTGAGAGGGGCCGAGGTATTGAACTCAGGTCGGCCAAGTTGGCCACATGCAAGGCAAATGCCCTACCGCTGTGCTATCAAGGGTCAGTATGAGGCATCAGAGAATATACTTTTATTATAACAAAACTTTTAGGAAAAGAGAGCAAAAAATTCCTTCAGATACATTTTTTAAATTTCCATTTTCATCATAATTTTTTTTCCTTTTTGGATCACACCCAACTATGCACAGGGATTACTCCTGGCTCTGCACTCAGGAATTACTCCTGACGGTGCTCAGGGGACCATATAAGGATGCTGGGAATCAAACCTGGGTCGGCCGTGTGCAAGGCAAATGCCCTACCCGCTGTGCTATTGCTCCAGTCCCACATCATAATTAATTTTTGGTGGGTGATTTTGGTGGTGTCAGGGATCAAACTCATGGCTTCAAAATGCAAGTCAAGTACTTTTACCATTAAACTATATATCTGGCCCCATTTTCACCGTAACTAAAACATCTAATAAAAACTCTCATTCTACTAAAAAGTAAAAATGGCTCTCTTTTCATATCTATAATTAAATCACCCAGAAAACAAACAAAATAGGAGACTAACACCCAAGAATGGCTGAGATTAGTACCAGGAATTTTGCTCCATGGCTTGGAGGCCAGCCACACATGCTAGGGGAAAAGAGAGCTCAGATAGAGAAGGGAGCACCAAATAAAGGGTATTGGGAGGATCCTCCCAGGATGGGAGAAGCATGCTGAAAGTAGACTATAGACCAAACACTATTGCCACTCAATGCCTCTTTTGCAAACCACAACACCCAAAAGAAGAGAGAGAACAAAAGGGAATGCCCTGCCACAGAGGCAGAGTGGGATGGGGGAAAGGGGGGTGGGAGGGATACTGGGATCCGTACTGGTGGGAAATGGGCACTGGTGGAGGGATGGGTATTTGGTCATTGTATAATTGAAACCCAAGCACAAAAATTTGTAAGTCTACAACTGTACCTCATGGTGTCTCACTGATAAAAAAAAAAAAAAAGAAAAAAGAAAACAAACAAACAAAAAATACTTTGGGCTGGTAATATAGCAGGCAGGGCTCATTGCAGGTGACTATCCAGTTCAATCCCCATATCACAAATGGTGCCCTGAACCCCACCAGAAATGATCCCTGAGCACAGAGCCAGGAGTAAGCCCTGAGCACCGCTAGGTGTGGCCCCAAAAAACTAAAAAAAAAAAAAAAAAAAAAAAAAAAAAAAAAAAACCTCACTTATGTTAACCTTGTTTAAGGAAATAAAAATTAGTATGTAAGGCTACATACATTCCTCAATTTAGTTGGGCAAATTTCTAATACTAATTCAGTGATCACTTACAAGTGTGCATGAAGGGAATACAATAAATTTTACGATCAAATAAGTAATGGAAGAATGGAAGAATACATTTAACTGACAATGTCTCAGTGTCATATGATCTCACATATGATCTCTCTTGTGGATCATAATGCTTATTAGTATTCTAAAAACTTTAAGAAATCCTATAATAACCTGTTTAACTAATTTAACCCACTGTTTTCAAAATTTATTTAATCATATAACTTTTTTTGATTTGGGTTTTTCTTTGAGGGGGTGGGTGGGGGGAAAAGAAGGTAGAATTACACCCAGCAGTGTTCACCAGATAGTTATTAGCTCTCTGCTCAAGAATATATTCTGCTGGCACTCAGGGGATTATATGCAGTATAAGGCAAGCACCTTATCCCTATATTATCTCTCTGGTCATTCTTTTTATGTATATGATACCATGTGAATGGTAGCACTGTAGCACTGTAGCACTGTCCTCCCACTGTTCATCAATTTGCTCGAGCAGGCACCAGAAACATCTCACAACAAATTGTGAGACTTGTTGTTAATGTTTTTGGCATATCAAATACGTCAAGGGTAGCTTGCCAGGCTCTGCCATGCAGGCGAGATGCTCTTGGTAGCTCGCCGGGCTCTCCAAGAGGGGCGGAAGAATCAAACCCGGGTCAGCTGCATGCAAGGCAAATTGAGTCATTAATATTCAAAAATCAGAATAAAACTTGACGCCATAAATGTTAATTTTATTACTATTTTACAAATTTTAATCAGAAATTTTCAATCTGAAAATTGCTTTTCAGTAGTTTTGAAATAAAGATTTGAGTTTTAAAGAAAAAGTGAATTGCAAAGTTTTAAGTATTAGATCACATGTAAAAATATTTAATCCAAAGATCGTATCTCAAAAACATGTTGCAGTGACTGAACTTTTAAATTTAAACTTTATGCTCTACATATTAACAGTCAAGAATGATAGTTCTCTGGTCTTTCCAAGAAAAGAACTGATTTTGGACTAATTTCAAAATATTGCATTCTTTTATACTTCATCTTTCTTTTTGTTTTTTCAAGAAATAGCTTATTTTAATATTTTTTTAATTTCTAAAAAAGCCTTTTTAAAAAATTTTTTTTGAATAACCATGAGATACACAGTCACAAGGTTGTTCATGATTGGGTTTCAGTCAAACAATGTTTCAATACCTGTTCCTTCACCAGTGTACATCTCTCACCATCAATGTCCCAGGTTTCCTTCCCATCACCCGTCTTTCTTATATGAACTCTTTCCCATCATCCTTCTTTCTTATATGAATTTTTGACAAAGGGAAACAAAAATACATTTTTTTATCACTGTTATATTACTTACCTAATATTTTCACAGCATAATGAGGGCTTTCTAAGACAATTCCTTCTTCTGTATCAAATATAGGATTATCTATTCCAGTCTTTGGAGGAATTTGGGCTAGTTTCTTAAGTCTCATGGAGGAATTGAGGTCAAGTTCTTGTTTTTTCCCTTCTTCCTCTCGCCTACGTCTCATGTCTTCCTGTTGTTGCCGAATACGCTCCAATTGTGCACTTCGACGAACTGGCATCATCCTGGTGCCCAAATCTCCAGGGCAGTCAACAGCCATCTCTCGGTGCTTCTGATGTTCCTCTGGTGATGCAAGATCAACATTTTTTACTTCGCTGTCTGATTCCTCAGTAACGTGCCCATTCATATGGGATGTAGTCATGGTTATCTCTAAAAACCTGTATCACTTTTTAGAAATAAAAATTTCCTATATAGCCAATATCTTGATTCTGTAGTACAAAATCCATGTTACTTCAAAAAAATTTAAACTTCTCACATCAAATAATAATGCTATGGAAATGTATCCATGAAGGAAATCTAAGGGGAAAGATGAGGAAAAAAGTATAAGAATTACAATATATAAGTTTTACACACCCTACTCCCAATCTCCACACAACATAAAAACATCTCATAAGTTATAACACTGTTTTGCTATATAAAGTACCTTTTTCATTTTACAGATAAAAAATAAGATGACTCAACAGAAAAATACCCCTCAAGAATTTAAAGCAGTTTCATTTTACAACCAAGAAAAATGCTATTGAAAAGTTTAGCAAAACTGGAAAGAAAAATGGGGTTACTAGTTTAGAAAAGGTACAAAGACAGTTCAATCTTTGTAGTACTGTATGAACATAAGTACTTCATTGAGTTCAACTAGTATATACGAGATTAAAATAACTCCCTAGTTAACTACTAAAGAAAGCAGCCTATAGCTAAATCATTCTGGTGTGACTAACTTGAGATAACAGCAGTATCTTAGGAGACAATTCAATAGCTTATGACATGATGAACATACAAAAAAGAAACTTTTATTAGGGGCCAGGAGATGGCTGAAAGAGCTACAGTACATGGATGATGCACAGGGCCCTGGGGTTTGATCCTTGGCACCAGATGACCTCCTGAGCACCTCTGGTCATACTGGAGATGACCCCCCCACTCCAGCAAGGCTGGGGAGGTCCAAGTAAGGAGGGAAAAAATCTAGCAAAAGAAACTTTAATTAGAAGCTAAGGTAGCTACAGGACAAATCCACATTATAGTTAAGAAATTATCAGTCTCTAATTTATAAATGATCATATTAAAAAAGATATGTGAGGGCTAGAGTTTTTGATCCGTGGCACTGCACATAGTACCAGTTCCTCCAGTTTCATGAATTAAGACTACTGTTACTCTCTCTGATCTGTAGATTTATTTGGAAAATTTATTCACAGGATAGTTCTGAGTATTAAAATATGTATGCGAGTTTTAAAACTAAAAACATGTGCTTATGCTCTTAGTATTAATTTGACTGCTGTATTTTAAAATCTGTCAACATTTTAATGGATATTACTAACTTCTCACCAAACCACTTCTCAGCAAAATTGGTAGACTGTTTATATATATACATATATATATATACATACATATACATATATATCCACGTGGGCACAGCAAAGCGTAGCAAGCTTCCCGTGATGTATTCGATATGCCAAAACACAGTAACAAGTCTCACAATGGAGACGTTACTGGGCCCACTCGAACAAATTGATTAACAACAGGAGGAGAGTGACAGTGATGAACCCACGCACTGTATCTAATTAGTCTCCTTTTGCTCAAGACTTTAAAAATATTTATAATAATAAATCTACTTAACTCCTAGAGTTGAGCATCACTGCAGTAGTTTGGTTAGAGTTGCCAAGTAAGCAAAAGCAGAGTTTTTAGACAATATTCCTAAGGTCAGCCAATCTTCACTCAGCTTGTCAGGCTGCTTAATACACCGACCTAGACTACAGGAAAATCACTAGACCAATTATCATTAGAATTGTGTTTACATAAGAATTTTGGTAGATTTTCCTGACCTATGTCCAAATTTTAGCTTCGGTTTTTATAGTCATGTGGTTTTCGCATAAATACCTTGTTTATAATAAGACTGATTTCTCAGGTCTTAAAATGAGAGCTTTGAGAGGAATCATTAGATAATTCTTAAGTTACTGAAGGGGGCACTTGGAGTTTGAGAGCCACACCCAGCAGTGCTCAGGGGCTATTTCTATTTCTGCCTCTGTATAAACAACAACAAAAAGAACAATAACTATTCCATTAACTCATAGCCAAGTATTTTACACAGCATTCATTCAATTCAATTCACTGAAGTTGGTACAAATATGCCTGTCTTTTCTTTCTTTTGTTTTTTGGGCCACACCCGATTATGCTCAAGATTTACCCCTGGCTCTGTCAGTCTCAGGGATCTCTCCTGGCTCAGGGATCTCTCCTGGCTAAGGGAACCACATGGGGTACAGGGGATCGAATACAGGTCAGCTGCATGTAAGGCAAGGGCCCTACCCTCTGTATTATCTCTCTGGCCCCCAAATATGCCTTCTGTGAAGAACTGAATTAGGCTTTAAAGATAAATGGAGGAATAAGGAAGAGTTCATATGATGCTAATAAAGAAGAAAAATACAAGGTGTGGAAAAGTACAAATAAGGCTAATAGAATCAAACCACACAGTGGAATGATCAAATGATCACTCTGGACAATAACTGAGTGCAGAAAGGAGATAAAGTAATATTCATGATTACCTTTCAATACCTGTACTGCAACCCACAATGCCTGAAAAAGTGGGGGGGAGGAGGGAGAAAGAGAGAATGAGAGAGAGACAGAGAGAGAGAGAGAGGTCTGCCATGGAGACAGGCTGGATGGGGGGGGAGGGAAACTGGGGACACCGGTGGTGAGAAACATACAATGGTGAAGGGTTGGGTGTTGGAACATTGTATGATTGAAACCCAATCATGAACAACTTTCTTTCTAACTGGGTATTTCACAGTGATTCAATGGGGGTGGGGGGAGGAAAGGATTAAAAATAAAATAGTGGAAGGTATGGTTAGAAAGTTACAAACTTTCTAAGGATAATCATTTATATGTATTATTTAATACATATTAAAGGTAAAGGTAAAGGTAAAGGCCCTCCCGTTGATCGTCGATTTGCTCAAGCGGGCCCAGTAACGTCTCCATTGGAGACTTTGTTGTTACTGTGTTTGGCATATCGAATACTCTCGGTAGCTTGCCGGGCTCTCCGAGAGGGGCGGAGGAATCGAACTTGGGTCGGCCATGTTGGCCACTTGTAAGGCGAACGCCCTACCGCTGTGCTATCGCTCCGCCTGCAATATGTATTAATATGTATTTATCCGGTAAATACATATTAAACAAATAATATGTATTTATCCGGTAAAGCCCTCCCGTTGATCGTCGATTTGCTCGAGCAGGCCCAGTAACGTCTCCATTGGAGACTTTGTTGTTACTGTGTCTGGCATATCGAATACTCTCGGTAGCTTATCCGGTAAATACATATTAAACAAGTTCAATTCTCTAGGCAATAACAGAGCCATCTGAGATTTTAAAGAAATGATTCAAACTACCAAAATATACTAGCAGTACAGAAATCAATGTGTCCAGAATTAAATTAAGATTTTAATCTTGTCTTTTTGGTCCTCTTCCTCCACTCTCAATTCTAATTAGGGACACTATATTCAGTTATTTAAAACAAAACAATGTTTAAGAGAACTGGTCTCAGAATTGAACTGCCAAGGATCTAATCCTTATCTCCTTTTAAATCACAGCTCAAATATGCCCTTCCTAAAAACCCTCGTATGTCAGGAACTAGGTTTTCTCATCTTGGAATCATGGTACTGCCAGCACATTATCCATGCAAACAGAAGACTTCAAAATGTAAGCCCAAGGGGGTATGGTACTGCCAGCAGGTAAACCCGTACCTGAGGGGCAAATGCACCAGCAGCCTGATGGTGCCTTCAGACTTCCAGATACCCCAAAATTGCTGCTGTGCCTATAGCCAGACCCCAACAACTTGGGGCCAAGTTTACCAAGAAATTAAAAGGCCAAAAGTTAGGTATGTGGGAGACACACCCATAAACCACATCTGGCTCAGCTATATAAGCTCATTTACTGGCCTTATTTCAAGACCCATAAGTCTTGAAAGAGATCAAAAGATGCAGTTAGGTCCTGTAACGCAGAGGTAAGTGGGAACCCATGACTAAGAGCTCCAGGCTTGCTTGGACCAGGACTGGGTCTCTTCCCACCATGTTCCCAGTTTTCCAGTTGCTTGGGAGTCACACCTACAAACTGTCCCCGGTGCTATGTAATCTCATCAATGATAGCCAAGACCCAAAGACTATAAACTAGAGCTCCCAGAAGGGAGCGCCGAAGAATGTCCTGACCCCGCTGTCTTCACCAGGACACCTTGGAGAGGGGTGGGTTGATTTTCTCTCCCTGTCCCAAGCAGGACCCCGGCAGTCGAAAACCTCCAGAACCCAACCACTGTCATGCCCAAGGCCACTCTTCACATGCTCGGATAAGCCTCATCCAAGACGACGGGATGAACCTCACCAGAGAGCAGACTAGCAAGAAAACCCAGATATGTGGGAACCTGTGACTGAGATCTCCAAGCCCACTTGGATTGGGACTGAGCCTCCTCCCTCAGGTCCCCAATTTTCCAGTAGCTTGGCAGTCACACCCACAAACTGTCCCTGGTGCCATGTAATCTCATCAATGGCCAAGACCCAGAAACTATAAACTAAAGCTCCCAGAACAGAATGACACAGACTTTCCTGGACATTATATTCTATCCATAACAAACAATACAAAACAAATCATCTAGCATTAAAAAAAAAAGTAATGTGGAGTTCATACCCAATTCAATCAGCTTAATCAATGGCTGAATAAATAACAGTACTCCTACATTATTTAAAAAAAAAAGTAAACCCAGATAATAAGACTCCAGAAACACTCACTCATTAGGTGGATGGCAATGTCATTAACTAAAACTGAGAATACAAGAGAAAGAAAATTAATAAGGGGAAAAAATGGAAAGTGATGAATAATATATAGGTAAGCTTTGGATAGAATAATTTCAAGGCCATTACAGGTCACATAGGTAAATAACAGAATGATCAAGTAAGCAGAAATCTATCTTAACTCATCTGGTATTAGTAAAAGATAGGTAAGTAAGTATATAGGCAAATTTCTTCTTTGAGCGATAGCATAGTGGTAGCGAGTTTGCCTTGCACGCAGCCAACTGGGCCAACCATGGTTTGATTCCTCTGCCCCTGAGAGCCCGGCAAGCTACCGAGAGTATCCTGCCGGCACGGCAAAGCCTGGCAAACTACCTGTGACGTATTCGATATGCCAAACACAGTAACAACAAGTCTCACAATGGAGATGTTACTGGGCCCACTCTAGCAAATCAATGAACAATGGGAGGACAGGGCTATAGTGCTACTTCTTCTTTTTTTTTTTTTTTTGCTTTTTGGGTCACACCCGGCGATGCACAG